CAACTGCATCCCGACTGATACCAGGCGCTACACTACTAACAAGCACGCTGATAGCGTCAGCTCCATCTGCAGGGGGACCAACGCTGACACCCAACAGCAGACACAACCACTGGCAACCAAACCGCCGCCACCACCATCACAACCCAGCAGACCTATGCCATTCGCGCCACCCCCATGGAGCGCACCCGACAGCCCTGCGAGTCCGACCATGCGAATCGACGCAGGACACAACAAAGCGTCGGAGCTACAACCTGCGCGGCCACACGACGCACCAAGCGGACCGTCACCACCAGTAATCACAAAGGAGATCACCGCACATCCCTACGCGCAACCGCAACCGAAGACGATCCAAAGCAAACCTACGCCAGATATTCACGTCAGCAAAGTGACCGCGACCTTCGCGACGACGACGCACCAGAAACCCCCCAAACCACCGCCAGCTCACCTGATTGACCAAGCTAGTCAGACAGTACAACAGCCACCGACCACGCCCAACAATAATAGAGCAACAGCATAACCAAACACAAGTCCACCAACATTCACCACAATGACCACATGGTTAACATCCCACTTCTTCATGCCGGTACACCCACCACCACCCGCGCAACAACAATATCCATCTTTTGCCCAGCAGACGAGGACGTCAACGCCCTGCAACTGATGCCTTGTAATATTTGGCGACAGCTGGCTCCGCGAACGCCGGCGACGCGTCGGACCTACTTCCCAGCGATCGCAGCGCAAGCGATCGCCGCGCACCGCGAAGCATCAGGGCGATGGGGCACACCAGATCCAAATCTTCAGCCGCCACATCTTCTTCCTCAACAAGGTTTGAGACCCCAGGTTCCAGGGCTACATTGCCAGGCGTCGCGCGCATTGGGCCCGACGCGAAAACTACCTCAACAGCCCGCGCGAACGCGCGCCTGGAGCGCCATTCAGGGGGCCGCCGCCCAAACGCATGGCAACGCTACGCATGGCTGTTCCCGAGCCCAGACCGATCTACGCAGGCGATGTGGCGACCCATCGCTGCGACCAGGACTGGGCAACATACTACGAAATACCGCGACAGTCATGACCAGTACTTCCTCCTGTCCAACGACCGCAGATGGACTTCATGTGGCTTGGTAGGTACAGGTGCGCTCACTTGCAGTCAGACCGTGATGACCTACTCCTGGCTTGCGATGCACCTCTCTTCCCTTTCCTTCGCGGCCTGTCCGTTGCGCCGGCGACGCCCTCTTATTTGCAGGTTAGGGGCTACGCTGCAAAAACCCTGGGTCGCAGTTTTAGGATTGCGCATTTATTCTCGGCAGGTCAAGGGTTCTCCGCAAAACCGCGCGGCAACATCACTGCGCGCGCATCCGCAATCAAGACGCGCTTGTAGGCCAAGCGCACTGCCGCCCCGACCTATTCGAAGGCCTCGTTGTTTGCGTGTTGTGCATGGTTTCTATGGTGCCCACTTGCGGTGAGACGCTGCCGGCCGGCTTTGAGGCGCGCCCGAGGCGGCCCCTCCTTTAACGCCAACCCCAAGGGCACACAGGTGCTCATCATACTAACATATGGTTTATAGCCCGGTCTTTCTCACTGCCGCACCCCGACACTCGCCCTACATCTCGGGGGATTGGAGAGGGGCTTGGATGGTGGCGGCGGAGGCGAATCTCTTTGTCTCAAGGTTAGGGGGCAGCCTCAAAAGCACCGACAGCACCGGCACTTTGGCCCCTACAGAGGTAGACCCCGCATAGCCGAGTCGACATCGCCAATGGTGTTTTTTGTTGCAACGGGCCAGCCTCCGTGCATGCCGGCCTTATCGGCAGCCACTCTTTCTTCTGTCATTGTTCAGTTGTGCACCCTCGGTCCTTCCCTCGCGGCACGCCCGGCACGGTGGCGGCGCTCTCCCGATTGCAGGTTCGGATCTATCCAGCAAAACTTTGGGTCGCAACCCTAGGATTCTGCATGCATTCTGGGAAGGCAGCTGGTTATCCACAAGACCCCATGGCAACATCGCTGCGCGCGCGCCGATTGTCGAGGCCGTTTTGGAGGCCGCGCGAAGAACCGACCAGACTTGCTCGAAGGTTTTGTAATTTACTCGTTGTGTATGGTTTCTACGGCACCCTAGTGCGGCGAGACGCTATCGGCCGACAGCGAGGGGCGCCCGTGGCGGCTCCTCCTTTGGCTCCATTCTCAAGGGTACACAGGTATTAATACTAGTACCCCTTTCATTTGAAGCCCCAGTCTTTCTCACCGCCGCTTCTCGACACCCCCCCTACATCCCGGGGGGGTCGGGGAGGGCGCTTGCGCGTTGGATCGTGGAGATGGAGGCGAAACTCCTTCTTTCCAGGTTAGGGGTCGGCCACAAGAGCACCGACAGCACGGACACTTGGGCCCCTGCAGAGGTAGACCCCGCCAAGCCAACTCGACCTCGTCAGCTGTTTTTTGTTAGCGCGCTAGGCCAGCTTCCGCGCAGGCCAGCCTGCTGGCCAGCAGTCACTCTTTCTTTTGGCGCCGTTCAGCTTTGCACCCTCCGTCTTCCTTCGCGGTTCGTCCGTCGCGCTGGCGGCGCTCTCTCACTCGCGCAGTGGGCGTCGCCCTACAAAACCCTGGGTCGCAGCCCGAGGATTGCGCATTTATTTTCGGAAGGTTCGGGTGTATCCACAAAGCCCGATGGCATGATATTTCGGTGCCTAATTGCGGCAAGACACTATCGGCCGACTTCGAGGGGCACCCAAGGCGGTCTTTTCTTTCAGTCCAAGTCCAAGGGCACGCATGTACCAATCATCTGACCCTTTCCATTAAAACCCACATCTCCTTATATTTCGGGAGATTGGGGAGGGGACGTGAATGCTGGCGGTAGAGGCGTAGCTCTTTCTTTCAAGGCTCGGTGCCAGTCACAAAAAGAAACCCAACCACATGAACATGTGGGTCCCTACAGAGGTCGACCCTGCAATGCCGAGTCGACCTCGTAAGTTGTTGTTTTACACCAGGCCAGACTCCATTGCTTCTTCTGTCACTGTTCCGCATTTACACCCTCCGTCTTTCGCTCACGTTCCGACGCGTTGGTGGCGCCTTTTCCCTTCAGTGTCCGTTCGGTATGATCCTACAAAACCGTGTGTCCATTTGCATAAGACCGTACTGCGTCATGGCAGCTATTTTCTCTAGATGCAAACGCAGCGCATCCATTCTGGAAGTGACACTGGCTCTTTTGAGGTACTAAACCTTTTACGTGATCAATATGTCCACGTGTAAGGCGATCTGTCACCCTCCGTTCAGCGCGGCGTCGTTCACGGCATATGTATTGATCCCTCCCTACCGAGGTGGCAATGCATAGAAAGTTTGGCGTTCATCTACGTTGATTACTATCTTTGGTGGGGGTACTCTGTCATTAAGGTTCGTGCAACCTCGAGGACTTGGCGGGCGCCTACTCGTTTCAATTATTATCGGCCTTAGGCTTGCTTATAATATTTCCGCGGTGCCCGCCGTGTGCATCTTGATCCGGGTCGCATTATGTTGGGTTGTCCTTCACAGGGAAGTTTCAGGTCGGTCTAACGCAAAAAACAAGAACAACAAAACATAGTAACGGGGGCAGGAGGGTGAGGAGGAGGAGGAGGAGGAGGAGGAGGAGGAATGAGTCGGAGGAGGGGGGCGAGTCCGGAGGACGAGGGGGAACCTGGAGAAACAGCAGGATGGAGGGAGGAAGGGGACAGAGTAGGAGGAAACATCCGTGCATAAGGAGGGACAACGAGGGAGGACGAAGAGGAAGGACAAATCATGGATCGGGAGCAGGAGTAGGGAGGGTGGGGGAGGAGGATGGAGGCGGACGATGATGGAAGAGGGGGGGGGAGGCGCCGGGAGAGGGAGGGGGGGAGGCGGGGGAGGGAAGGGAGAGTGGACGAAGTTTGATGGATTGAGGGAGTACGGGCCAGGTATGACCAGTTGTTGTATCGGGAGGATGGGCGCGAGAATTAGGGAAGGGGGTGCAGGGAGACTTGTAAACGGGATCGCTGAACGCTCACGACGGCGAGCAATTTGAGTAATTATGCTGGTCGACAGCAGCTGACCCTGCTGCAGCATTTGTCAGATGGGACGCAGAAACACCCTAACGCAGGAGGGAGGTTCCACGCCCCTAATTCCACTGAGTATTTCGACGTGGTCGCAGGGGACTCGACTGGAGAACGGGCGAGCCAGGACCTTGGATAATGGGGAATATACGACTGGAGAAGTCGACGGCCATTGCGGGGCGAACGGCGAATTCGAGAGTGTGCAAATTTGTGGATCGTCGACTGGTCGAGTGGGGATTAAATCCCAGTGGGGAATCATTGCGTCCTCTTGGCTTACACATTGGGCCCCAACGCCTCAATATATGCGGTCCTAACGAATCGCCGTCAAATCCCTTCTTCGGGACCTCGAGACCTGCTGATCCAGGTCAACGGGGGCCTCGTCGCCAACCCAGGTCGGCCGCGAAGTAGTTCCAGGACCAGGTCGGTGGAGGGAGGAGAGGGTCGGGTCGGACGAAAGGGTATTGGGAAAGTTGGGTGGGGGAGTGCGAGGTCCGCTGCATGCAGTTGGTTTCGGCCCGGCCGCCGGGCATTTTCCTCGATGCAGTCGCTCATTCTTCGCCGTAGAGATTGGCTGCATGCAGCTGGTTCCTTGAGCCTCCCCGGCTATGCCCCCCAGAGATGGGGCGGGGCCAGCCCCTTCATGGCTGCCGAATCTGGGCCGGCCAGACAGGATCAGAGGGGTCTGGCCGACCGCGCTGATCATGTCTGACCCCCCGGCCCGACCTCCAGCCGCCCATGTTCCCGTTCCCCCCCCCCCTTCAGGGGACGCCAAGTGTACACCTGCACCAATCCTGACCAGACCCATCTTCGGTCAAGGATTTGTGTGTTGGACGCATCCCTGGCAAAGCCAGCAGGGCGTACACCGAGGATGGGCCTGGCCAGGACTGATGCAGCTAATTTTATGGTTGGCGCCCCTGCCCCCGCGTCTGCCCTCCGAGCCCCCCTTCCCAGGAGGCCACGGCGGCAATAGGCTGGAGCTGTGGGCCCACGACCCCCGAGTGCCCGCTGAAGGTGCGCCCCGCCCGCCCGCGAATATCCTCGCCGCCCCTTGCCTAGAACTGCCAGCTAAAGATGCTCACCCCCTACGCATATAACTGCCAGCTCACTGTCCTCACCCCCCTGACTCAACTGCCAGCGAAATCTCGTCGCTGCCCCTGGCATGAAATTGCCAGCTAAGCATCCTCACCTAGAACTGCCAGCGAGATACCCTCAACCCCCGGACTTAAAACTGCCAGGGGGCATATCCTCACACCCCCCGCTTCAAACTTCACGCCCCTCGCTTAAAACTGCCCAAACTGCCAGTGAAATATCCGCACCACCGGAAATTCAACTGCCATCTAACGAGTTTGGTGATTCAGTTCAGTTATGCCAGTCAGTTCTGTCAGTCAGTTCCGTCTAATTCCCGGAAATTACATACGGACTGCACCGAAACAATCAAACACTGCAGCGCAAACGAGCGCAAATTGGACGTTGAAGCCCTGGGCAAGGCAGGCTAGCAGTACCATCGGTCAAACCAGCGAAGTAGACCAACCTGACCTGACAGACCACACATGCAGACCAGCCCAGCCCAGACCACATTGATCAGAACAGCCACAACAACCTGCCAATAACTGCATTGCCCATGGCACAACTGCATGGCGCAACTGCAATGCAACCGCAACTTTTGCCAGGTGGCCGCGGTCGGCGCCAGGCGCGTCGCACCCCCTCGGGCCCCCTCGGGCCGCTTTCGGCTCGCCCGCGGCCTGCCGCGAAGACCCGCCTCAATTTGGTGGCGGCCCCAGGCCCCGGCGCTTGCCTGTCGGCGCCCCCGCGCCGGGCACTTGGAACTGACCCCCCGCGCAGCGTGACGCTAGCGGCGTTTCAACGCCGTTCCCGAAGCCAGCTGCTCGACGAGGAGGCCTTCTGCCTGGCGCGCGGGGAGGTGATGGGCGCGCGCACGCGCGCAAAGTGCGCGCTCACCTGCAGTTGCCGCGGCGACCGCACGACGCGCCACCATTGCCTCCGCAACCAGACTTGGCAGGAGGCGCTGGCCGCCGGCTTCGCCGGGCGGAGCTCGGGCGGGCGGCTCTGGGAGGCGCCGCGCAGACGTTTTCGTTCCGTTGCTGCGAAGCGGCACGGCGGCCGCTTGGGACATAGCTGTCACCTGCGGCCCCCGCGCGGACCTGCTCGCGACCTCGGCCGCAGACGGTGGCGGCGAATCAGCGGCGACGCGCTGCGAGGAGCACGAGCGCCAGCACTTAGACACAGCTCGCGTTCGCCACCGATGGCGTGCGATGCCCAAGGCGGCGGCTGGGGCCGGGAGGCGCCACGCTTTGTCGAGGTGCTGGCCAAGCGCACGCAGACGCCGACGGGGGCGACGCCGCGGTCGCTGCCGACCAACTTGCCAGGCGATTCCCCGCCCCCTTTCCCAGGGGAAATGCGCGGGCAGTGCTGCGTCGCCTCCATCCGCGAACAAGGGCAACGGCCGCGCGCACGGCGGCGGCCACAGCCGCCTCCACGGCGGATGCTGCGCGAGCCGCCGACCCGCAGCCCCAGAGCTGCCCCCCTTCTTTCCCCTCCTCCTGGCCGCCGCCCACTCCCCCGATTCTGCCCCCGCCGTCGATTCCGCCCGCCGGCCACCCCCCCCGAACCCCCGAGTCCCGGCAGCCGCTGACCGCGCGCCGCCGACGACGAGCCGCGGCCGCCCGCCTTCCGCCTCTGCCCCCAACGTATTTGCTTTCTGCCCCTTCCGCCTTCCCCCCTCGTGTCCAGCGCCCGTTCGCTTGTTTTTGTCGTCCTCACCTCGTCCTCGTCGTCGTCGTCCTCCTCCTCCTCCTCTTCCTCCTCCTCCTCCTCGTCCTCCTTCTCCCTCTCCCCCCCTCCTCTTCCTCCTCTTCCTCCTCTTCCTCCTCCTCCTCCTCGTCCTCCTCTTCCTGGTCCTCCTCGTCCTCCTCGTCCTCCTCCTCGTCCTCCTCCTCCTCCTACTATTCCTCCTCCTCCTCCTCCTCGTCCTCCTCCTCCTTTTCCTTTTCCTCCTCTTGCGCCCCCCCCCCCCGCGGGCTGAGACGCGGCGCGCCCCTGCTCGGAGCGTCCGTCGTGGTGTCAATTTGCAAGCCGGCTGCGCCAGTGACAGGCATTTCTCCTCTTCATCTTCCTCCTCCTCTCTTTCCTCCTCCTTTTCCTCCTCATCCTCCTTCTCCTCCCTCCTCCTTCTCCTCCTTTTCCTGGCCCCCCTCCGCGCAAGGCGCGGGCGTGCGCGCGCGCCTGACGGCGGGGTCTGATGGCCCACGCCCCGCGGCCGCTTCCTCGCCCCGCGCGCTCTCGCCACGCGTTGTGCGCAACGGTCGTTTCCCTTTTCGTTCTCGTGTTCCGTGCCTCCTTCCTTTGCCTTTCCTCCCTTGGCGTTCGCAGGGGAGCTACGCGGCAAAGGCAGCGACGGCCGCTGCCGTTGAATTCTTGCGCATGTTTGAAGTTTGGATTATTTTTGCTGTTTTCGGTGTTGGAGCGCGCGGCATTGGAATACCCCCGCGGCAGGGGCGCCACTTCGCCGGCGCGGAGAGCCCGCGCCGCGGACCCCCTCGCTTCAGCTCATGTTTCTGCGGGCGGGTTGAGATTCTCGATATCGTTTGCTTGCCAACCTGCGCTGCAGCTCTAGTAGCGAAGCCGGTGAGCTCCGAAGCTCAAGCTTACATCTGAATTTCAAGTTTGTGGTCTTGAGGCGCCCGGCTGCGCGCTGCACGACTGAACGCGCATTTGCCGGGCCGTCAGCGTTCCAGCAGCCCGCGGTTCGCGCTTCGGCATTCCATCGTCACCTAGCGCGAGCGCGTTCCAGCAGCCTGCAGCGTGCGCGCCGTCCAGCAACCCACGGGATGCGCTCCCGCGCCGGATTTTTGCACTTGGCGCGGGCGCTCTAGCAGCCCGCGGCGCGTTCTTTACCGCTGCAGTGTTTACCGATCGCTGTTAGTCCAGCGGCCCGCGGCACGCGCTCGGCGCTGCAATTGCACCGAGCGGGGGCGCCCCCGAAGCCCGCGGCGCGCGTTTTAATACTGCGGCGCTGAAGCGCGAACCGCCCAGCAACCCACGGCGCGCGCCCCAACATTGCGTATTTCACCGAGGTTGCTTGGTCCATCTTCGGCCATAGGCACGTATCAAGCGGCACTGCCCCGCCTGTGATTTCGGCGTTCCGTGGGGAAGCTTCGAAGCATTGCTGGGGCCTACTGTGGCTATTGCGGATCTGGAGGTGAGCGCCGAATCTGGAATTTTGTTAGATGGGATGCTGTTTGAGTCGTCCCAGATGTGGTCATTCAGCTTGATATGCATCATATGCAGTTGTATGTATACACGCAGACTCCTCTTGCCCCCATCCTTGTCAGTCTTGGTCATAACACCATCGTTTTTGACTGTTCTGGTAAATCTGTACTGCTCATTCGTGCGAGGTGCAAGTGTCACTCATCACGAGGCCAGGTGAGGGTTTGGCCGATCGGTGTAGGACCTTCCCCCACTCATGCTGCAAGACAGGGGTGCGCCGATATTTGGGGAGGCAGCCACCCTCACTATTCGCGACGACAGTGTTGGGTCACAGTCGGCATTGACATGTTCATCGGATGTTTTTACAAGTGTCCCCATGGCTTGCCATCGTCTGCGCAGGTGGAGCGTGGACAGTCGGCCTCCTCAGATGCTTGTCTGGCTGCGCCTCCTTGGGAGGGCCGTGGGGTGGAGTCGGGGTCGGGATCGGTTTGATTTTGTTTCAGGCGGGCAGCCATGTCTGCTGGCGTGCCCTGCGCCACCCACCGTCGCAGGTGCTCTGTCCAGGGCAAAGTCATGTGTTCAGGAGGCGTTGACGTTGATGCCAACAACAATCCTTCCCTCGTGGCCGTCGTGGTCGTCGTCCTCCTCCTCCTCCTCCTCGCCTTTCGTTTTCTCTCCGTCTTCCTCCTCCGCACCAGAGTCCCCATCCGTCTCCTCTTGCTTCTTCGGCCTCACTGCTTTGCATCCTCGTCAGGCGACTGGGAGTTCGGAGGCGTCAGACACGAGGGAGGGCCAGACGGGCCAAACGCCGGAAGGACGGTCAGTTTCGTCACCCTTTCCTACAGGCGTTAACCTTCGCCCTTCTGTTGGTCATCCGCGTCGCCCCCCCTTGGCGACCTCCGACGTTGCCCCGCGCGCCGTCACTCCCACTCCCCCCAAGCGTGCCTGCTGGCCGCACTCGTTTTTATGGGAATGGCCTTCAGGACCGCGGCCTCGACCCCCTCTCGCGGTCATCGGATCAGTTTCCTTTTTGCCCAAGCCCCGTTTTCGTCGTTGCTTTCACTGCGCGGATGGATCTTCTAAGTTGTGGTTGTCCCAGGACCGCTTATATATATATATATGTATATATATATATATATTCCAGGGCCGTCTAAGAACGATTCGGGATCACAAGCCAGCGCCAGAAACTCGGAAGTGGGATGAGAAAGCAGCGTTGGGAAAGACGTCGCGTGTCTGGGGGCCAGTGATTCGACAAACGCGGATCGTCGGGGCGTGTGTATTTCTTACACGAATGACCCTCCTGTTATTCGCCGGCCAAACAGTTATCCGTAAGGGCTTCGCCCCCTGCCGCCGGCCCCCTCTCTCGGAGAATGGGCCATGGAAGAGCTAAGTCATGAGGAGTATCGAAACTTCATGCGAAGCCGAGTCGCAATCAGCAAAACCAACTGATCACAAGAGGGGTTACCACACCTGGCGATTGGTAAGACGTGTATGGTTTAAGGGCTTGGTTACCACACCTTGCGATTAAAGGGCCGAGGGAGTTCTCGCAGTTTGGGTTACCACGCCTTGCGATGGATGTGCGTGATGGGTTCGAATTTCAGAAATGTGGCAAATCCCCTTTGTTTTTGGACCCTGACCCCGCGGATCTGCGTGAGGGGTGGCACCGAATTTCAGAAATGTGGCAAATCCCCTGTGTTTTTGGACCCTGACCCCGCGGATCTGCGTGAGGGGTGGCACCGAATT